AGCAGGAAAGTTTTTCCGAGTGACAGTGCTTCAATAAGAAGTTTCCTTTCTATTCATTTGAACAACGAACTTCGGGTATCAATCAGTAGGAGTTTGTCAATAAATAGAATTTTTTTTTACTTATTTGTAGCGGTATAACTTTGTAATTTAGTCACATTCAAATGTCGCGTAAGTTTTTCCTCAAAAGTTTGCAATTCTCACAAGTACAATTTTTGTCAGCTTATCAGTAGGCTATAGATAAACTGTTCTATTTTTCAACCGCCTCTCACATAGTATAGGTTTAACCTCATTTAGACAACGACACATCGGTAATCCTTCGTGATATCTTTGCCTCTTATGACAAGAGAGTAATTCCTTTTACTGATGGACCTGTTGTGATCAACATGACAATCGTTCTTGGAATATTGGTAGAAGTGGTAAGTGTCAACGTTACAAACTTAGGGTCGACGTAGTTATTTGAGAACCTTATTGAGCTCTTGATTGTGTAGTAACAAACCAACCAAAAAAGACATCGTAAACAAGCGAGGAACAATTTTCATCTCTCAAAGCTCTTAATAGATCCTTTAGAGAGAGAACGAGCAATTAGCTGCATATGTTATATCGCATACTCAGCGTTGGTATGATCGTCGCTTACAATGGGATCCGAATAACTACAGAGGGCAAAAAGAGGTGAAGACTGATGGAAAAAATGCATTTTTAAACGCTTATTGTTAAGGTCATCGTTCCTCAGAGCATGGTCTGGATACCTAAATTATTTGTTTATAACAGGTGAGTTAGCTGACACAACCCTAGTTCCCACCATTTTAATCTTTTTTTAAAAGAAACTGTGCAATAAGTAAACAGGAAATGCTCAAAATTAATTAATGTATTAAAGAATGAATGAAATGGGCGAATGAATGATAAGCGATTGAATGAATGAATATGTGAATGAATGATTAACTGATAAACTGTTCGAATGAATGAATATGCTTGATTGGTCTGAACGAACGAACGATTGAATGGATGGATGCATAACTGATGCATGAATAAGTGAATGGAATGTGAATGAAGGAATGAATGAATAAATAAATGATTGGCTGGTCAATTGTTCAAATAAATCAGCGAAACGAATAAATATAATTACTTTTTGTTATCTATCCTAAGCTTCTTATAAGATTAATCTATGAACGATGTAAGTAAACTGTATTTGTAACACTGTCTCATTAAGTCTCGAATCAAAGGAGATGCTTACTCCTAATCGAGCTGACGTTCGTCTACACAGCGATGGCGCTATCAAAGTGAACATACCGCAATATGTTAGTGCGATATGTCGCATTCAAACGCAATCCTTTCCGTTTGACTGTCAGGTGTGCCTCTATTCTTATAAAATATGAATAGTCCTGCTGAATGTCATAAAAAAACTTGGTAACAGCTTATCATATTACAGTTTTGTGCTGTAGCCTTAGCATCACCGTTGCTG